TCTTATGACATCATCTTATGACATCATCTTATGACATCATCTTATGACATCATCTTATGACATCATCTTATGACATCATCTTATGACATCATCTTGACATCATCTTATGACATCAATATATATGATATCATCTTATAACATCATCTTATGACATCAATATATATGACATCATCTTATGACATCATCTAATGACATCAATATATATGACATCATCTTATGAAATCTTACCTCCTCATACAATATTTTGTAACTTATAGTTTTATCTACAAAAAATAAAACAAACATCAAAATTATAATTAATCATATAAGTACAATCACAATCTAGAAAAAATCCCTAACCTAAAGCAACCACGCCCAATGCTCATGGCTAAATACAACTGCTGGTCATTAATACTAGGACACTGTCTTTATTTTAGCAGGGTTGAAAAGACTTTGCAACTTAAGCTGATAGCCTTGTAACGGTTACTATTATAAATATATAATATATAATCTTAAATATTCGAAATTTGATCTTTTATTCTGTCTATCACACTTGACAATGTCTGGCCTGAAGCTAAAACTTGTTTAGTCAAATCTTATGGTTGCCAGTCATTTTAGCTAATAACGTAAAAATGACCTGCAACGGACCTGATTTTAATATTAGTTCTGGTGTTGCCTGTACTTACTTTCATCGATAAAGCATTGTGGTTGCCACCAGTAACCAGTATATCTGTCAAACTCTTCCTGGGCCACAAAGGACGCCACCCCAGACGATGTTGTTTCCTCTATTGGATTGGTTGATCCATTATTAGAATGTGTTAGTCGTAACTCTTGTCCTGTCTCTAGGTTAGTAACCCAGATATCATTATGATGGATAAATGCTGCTAAGTTGGAGTTAATAGGACACAGTTTAGAGTCCATTTTAGTATCATTGGTTTGTGAAGGAACCTCATGTACGCTGAATGGTAACTGACAGTTTTCCTGTTGAGAAAATCAAATCATTATAGCTGATACTATAGAGTAGATGTAGATTTTCTAACAATATGTTGGTATATATAGCTGCGAGCAGCAAGATATGATTTCCTTTTTTGCTGCTATCAATCAAAATGTATCGGAAGCTACATTTATCCAAGTTCATTAATTCCCATTTCTCATAAATCTTTTTTCTCACTTCTTACACCCTTCAGGAACATCATGATAATCCTGTTGCTTCCGGGTGTCCACTTAAAGACCCTCACCCCACCCCTAGTAAGTAACTGCCTAGCCATTTCCCACCTTCCCTCTCTCCCACAGTACATTTACCTTATCTTTCCCAATATCTATAAAGGTGTGTAAACTATTCGAGGAAGAAAACAGGAATCTCCTTGACATGTTACAATAATCATAAGACGTAATACCAAAAGATCCTAATCTTTTTCTCTCTCTCATTAGTTGTTCCTCTTTCGAGTAGCCAACAAAAGGTCGATTGATATCCAATAATGGCTGCCACTCTAGACATTCCCCTACACAACTAGCTCCGTGTCCTGGTATATCCACGTAGTGTATAGTATTTTCTCTGCTGTTAGGAGGAACAGCAAGGAAATAAAGTCTATCTCCAGAGAAGGTAAAGTTACTTGGGATTCTGTTGATCAGCTTTTGTTGGACAGAACGAGATGTTCGCACAGCGTATTGTAAATCTTTCCATGAACGCTTGGTTTTCATGTAATAATACAACAAACTGTCCATGGTAAGTGGGGTCTGGCCATTCTCGTTGTCAGAGGAGCCGTCAAACATGGTTTTTAGTCGCGAATTATGTCATCATATAATAAATTTTTCTCAATGAAAAACTCGACGCAAACTTTGCGGAAATTGCGAAATGTACGGTCAGCGGCCAGCACACTAAACTTCTCCGAACACTTACCGAAAATAATACGAACTAATACCGAGACTGGTCGAGAAGTCTCGACTAGTCTCGGTATTTTCCATGAGTTCAAGCGAAAAATTATCGATGTTCTTTCTATTTTGAAAACACTTTGAACAACGAGTAGAGAAAGAAACGTACAGAAAAGTTCTATTCGTTTAGGATAAATTAGTTTATGTAAAAATGGCGGCAGCTGACTTCGAGGGATCAGTATCTCAAGCAATCGGAGAGGTCGATCAAGAAGTTGAAGCCCTTGAACAAGAAGGAAAAGATATGGAAAGTCTGAGCAAAGAAACGGAAGCTGCGATAGAGATGTTGAGCACTGGAGTACTCTCTGCTTTCCTTCCTGAGATGGATAACATGAAAGAAAGAATGAATGAATTAACGTAAGAACGACATGCTGCTTATCTTTGAGCTTAGAAAACAAGGACCCCGTAGTGGAGCTCTGCTCTGTGGGGTTTCCCTGCCCATAAGGCGAAATTTAGACTGTGATGATAATGATGGCCTGCGTGCTATATGTGTAAAATTGTGCTAGGGGAGGAAAGGGAAAATAGATATGGATGGAAATTGGATTTCACATGAGGGGGCTGACTCACCACGCAGTTCCCCTCCATCCATAACACTTGGTCATTACCAAATGTACTGCAACTGGGAAGGGAGTTCACAATTAACCCTTGACAGGATAGGTAGGTCTGGGGGGGATACCTAAAGGATCCCCTGGATATACCTCTGCACCTACTCTGCAATGGTACAGAACTCTGCAACTAGTGAACACTGCTTGATAAACACTGAACCTATATATCAGCTGATAATGCAATGGCTGGTTTAAGTATAGATTCACATAAAGTATTTTCTTCTACTTTTCTAGTAAAAATCAAGGCGTACTTATTGAGACAATGCAGCAAGAAAATGCAAAATTTGGAGAAAGTCAAGAAGCAAAGGCACTGATTGAGATCGTAAGTAACTGTTTGTCTGTTTGTAGTTTGTTGTGTAATTCAGCGGTGTAGTGATGAATGTCGCTAATCAAAATCTTGTTATTATAACGTTAGATTTCACAGGTTAAAAGTTATCACAGTAAACTAAATAGAATACATCTTGAAATGGAACAAATAAATGAAAGAGTGGCAAGACTCAAGGTAAAAACTATTAACCTCATCTACATTAATATTACATAATAATAATGATAAGTTTTTATATAGAACTCTATACTCTGACGTCTCAGTGCACGTATTTTGCACCAAATTAGACCGCTATTTCAAAAAGTGCTGTTAGTATGAGATCTGAAATGGGTGATCTGAGAATAAGTGACTAAGTCACATCACTGACTGACTAACTTCTGAATGGTCTTATTTTCTGTGCTGCAGAGAAGAGCACAAAAATTAAAGGTACAAAAAGAGAAAGAAGAAAAGAACAAATTAGATGCCAAGAAACGTGAACAAGAAATTGAAAGACAACTGATTGCTAAACCAGCCACAGATCAAGAAAGTATTGAAAAAGAATGATATCAATACGTAACTATAGAAAATAATCCCATTCAGTTAAATAAATCTGTGTTTTAATAGTGTGATAAAATAAAAAAAAGGTAAATTAAAAAATTTTGATAATTCTAACAACAACAAAAACGAAAGTAGCTGTAATAATATTTTTTTAAATAAGGGTCGTAAAAGGATCGATAAGGAACAGCTTAGTTCAACTTTTTTAGGAGAGGGGCCAAAGTATGTAAATGTGAGGGATTTCTATTGGGAAAATGCCAAATTATTCTTAGCATATAATTACCAATTCAATATTTCAATTATAAAGTCATTATAATATAAAGCTTAGGATTGTCTTCAGTGGACAATCACACAAAGATTTGTTGCTATGGACTTGAGGGGTGAACTGCAACCTTAAACCACAGGGAGCCCAATGCCGTACTTTTAGTGTACGAAAAGAGAACATAAATCAGAACATTTTGAAAGGATGATTATTAATGTAGATTAAAGAAAAAAGAAAAGAAAAGAAAATGATTTATGTTGATCGATCTTGAGGCAGGAGAACAATCGTAAAAAGTACGTGAAACTTTGAAAGCTTGGGCTTTCTGTGTTGGTGGAGGCTTGGGACTAAAATAATTTGGCGGGAAAGGCACTATTTAGGTGACTAGCAAGGTATAATCTTCATAAGAAATATTTCTTATCTCATTACTAACCATGGGCCAGCTAGTATCAACTGTTCTTTCATCAGTTGGGTTATATTCCTGTCCAAAAGATGCCGATGAAGTGTTGTACTTTAAAAGACTCACACAGCTAGCGATCACCCCCACTCGAGGATCGTCACATGCCGCTGGTTATGACTTGTATAGCGCTTACGATGTCGTTATTCCTGCTTCTGGTAAAGCACTAGTAAAGACGGATATTGCTGTAGCTATCCCTGAAGGATGTTATGGGAGAGTTGCTCCAAGGTAAGTCTTACTTATACTTGAATTTGAGTAAGAAAACATTCTTTGCATTTGTGTTGTGCACCACGTTTCACACCCCCTCGACTTCAGCTCTGTGATCAATTAAAAAATCCTTTGCTTTTACTCCAATGAAGGCATTATCTTTGAGGAATTTAAAAATGTTGTGTAGAAACGTATCTGAATTATGGATAATTTTGAAAACTGTTTTTCATTATGGGTTGCATATTGCTTACCATCTGGAGGGAGGGGTGGGGAGGACAAGTGATTACTATCTGGAGGGAGGGGTGGGGAGGGCAATTATTGACTACCATCTGGAGGGCGGGGTGGGGAGGACAATAGTTCACTATCTGGAGGGAGGCAACTGTTTGCTGATATTGGAGTGGATACAAAAAAAACTGCATTTGTAATCATTTTCTGGATAAAGGAGCAGTTGCTATGGCTTAGAATAAAAGCTGTATTAGTGGGAACATCCATACTTTACCCATCAAGAAAATCCCTCTAAAGATGCTTGATGGGATATCTTGGGGATAGCACCCATATCAGAGATTTAAGTGTGTTATTTGTTACAGGTCAAGTTTGGCTTGGAAGCATCAAATAGATGTTGGTGCTGGTGTGATTGACATGGATTACCGTGGAAACGTAGGCGTGGTATTGTTTAATCTTGGGCAGAAAGACTATGAAGTTCATCAAGGAGATAGAGTAGCACAACTTGTGGTGGAGAGAATTAGCATGCCGGCGTTAGTTGAAGTGGAGGTAAGATACCATATAGAAATTGACGACTCTCAAAACTTCAGTGCATGTGGGCTTAGCCTCCAATCCAGGATTTGCTTGTTTTGTTATTCTAATTTCTGTTTTTGTTTACCGACATCAGAAGTGAGGCTAAGCCTGCTTACACTGGAGTATTAAGACTTGTCAATACGACATGTGAAGCCTGGATTTCACTTGTGACAGAATTGGAGGCCGAAGCAGCTTATGATGAAGTGAAAGTCATAAAACGCAGTCAGAAGCAGAATTGCAAGGTTTCACCTTGCATGGCTTGTGCTTATACCTATGATGAGCAGTCTTCACTTGTGATTTAATGCGAGAACTGCTCCCAACTTCAATTCTGTTGCAGGTGTAAACCAGGCTTTATAGAAGCATATTTGAGACTGGCAACAACTTCCTTCCATTTAAGGTCACTTTCCTCCTTCATGACATGTGGTGTATAAGACCTGGAGTGTTTAAGACTTTGGTTACTAGTTGAGATTTACCCCTACACTCGAAGAACCCTTTTTTTTCCTATTCTTTGAGGAGTAATTTTTTTAAAGCATGCAGCCAGTCAAAATCATACCTATTCATATTCCCTCAGAACCTGAACCTAGAATTGGTTTTTCTCTACCCCTACATATACATAGGTCTCAATCTTTAGCCCAGCAGATACTGTCTTGGGTTAATTTGTCTTAAGCAAATAACATAGATATTAAACATGGATATTAATCCGTATCTGTAGGACCTTGACGACACTGCAAGGGGTGCTGGAGGATATGGATCAACTGGGAAATAGATGATCACATGATCAGCAAATCATGTGACCTTGCGCTATCACTTTACACACTCCAATATTTGGCAGGACTATACATATTATATACAGTATCTATATTTAATAATCAGAGCAATAAATGATAAACTAAAAGACTTTACTGGCTTATTACTTATTTTATAGTTTTCCCACTTTAAAATCTAATATTTATCAGTTCTCACTAGAGGCCAATAAGACTAGCATGTATTTACAGTAACACTCATTTGGTCTATAGACAGATTATATGTATATAATAAAATTCTTCATTTAACAAGTTTATTTCATTTCAGCTATTTTTATTGCAATAAATGTGTATCATGTTACAGCGAGTAGTTTAGTTTTGTTTCATTCATTTTTACAAAAGGAAAGATGAGAGAAAGACAGTATGAAATCTTTGCAGTAGATTTTTCTTTTTATGATGTCTGATTGTTTCTGTGTGCAAAAGTGTAACTGTATAATAATTATAAATATGTTATATATATTATATTAATATGAATGGTGGGCCATGTACATATATTAATTCTGTGTAGTACTAAGTACAATTAATTATTTAACATTTTCTTGTTATTCATGTACTTATCATTCAGTCAGGTGTCGTACATCTAAGGTGTAGTGTCCTTCTTTATACGAGCCTGCGATTCATGAAATGTGAACATCACTTTTTACGTTCTTCATGCAACTCTTGTTAGACAATTCATGAAGTGTGTACATTTTTCGTGATGTTTTTGTTTCTTAGTAACAGCCAGGCTGCTCAGTTTGTTCAACATCATCTAACATCATCTACATCGTACTGCAAACAGAGCTCTTTGCTTTGTTTTGATTGACTAGACTGGAATTTTGTCGCTGTTGGAGAAAACAAAGGAAACTTTTTCAACACAAACACCACCATTGTCTTTTGCGGCAAACATAGGTGTGGTAGCTAGAAATGTTTTGTAATATTGCTTAACTTACTTTCTCCTTTGCTTGTTGCCGTAACTGTTCCTAAAGATGGGAATCAAAACACATTTGACATGATTAGACATTGATCTTTACTAGTGCATTAACCAATATGAATACAGAATGCTATTACATAAACCAATAACAATATGTTCTAGTGAGGTTGGGTTCTAAGTGGTATTTCACAGCTGCCATACCTGTTGCAGTCTTGCAAGTTGCTCTTGCAAGGAAATCACAACGTTATAATTATCTTGTAGTTTCCCATATTGCTGCAAGGAAATATACTAATCAGTATGTTGGTTGCATTGTGTTGCATGCTGAGTGGATCAACTGAATACAAACCTTTAACAATTCTGTTTTCAAATTTTGAACTTCTTCTGTGAGTCTAGTTTCTTTTTCCTAAAAATTGGAAGTAAAAATGCTCGTCATGTGACTCGATCAGAAAGTGATGTCATCATCAGCATAACGTCATAAAGTATGTGAAAAAATACCTTAGATTCTTGTTCTTGCTGTGCTTTCCACTGCTCTAGTCTCTTGGATTCTCCTTCTTGGTATTGCTTCAGTTGCTGTTCACTCTAAGTATATGAATAAATGTTATCCCAAACAGTAGCCTAACCCCTCCCTCCTAGGGGCAAGCATCTGCATACAGTCTGACTACTAACCCCTCCCCTCCTAGGGGCAAGCATCTGCATACAGTCTGATCACTAACCCCTCCCCTCCTAGGGACAAGCATATGCATTCAGTCTGACCACTAACCCCTCCCCTCCTAGGGGCAAGCATACGCATTCACTCTGACCACTAACCCCTCCCCTCCTAGGGGCAAGCATACGCATTCACTCTGACCACTAACCCCTCCCCTCCTAGGGACAAGCATATGCATTCAGTCTGACCACTAACCCCTCCCCTCCTAGGGGCAATCATCTGCATAAAGTGGTTTGATCACTAACCTCTTCCTTTTCGTCTTTTAGCTTCTCAATTTCTTGTTTTAGAGCCAACTGTGCCTCAATAGCATCACGCTGCAGCTCGCTTACAACCTGCAACCAATCAGATAACGATCACTCTCTACATGACTTGGAATCCTCCCATTTTTCCCCGTCCTTATTGATTCAATTAGTGCTCATAGTAGACCAACCAATCAGATCACACCATCTATGTACCCAATTCCCATTGGTTGTGGACGGAATCCTTTAAAGTGTTGTCACGGTATATATCTTACCTGTTCGTGTCTTGTTTGTAAGGTTCGCAGGTCGGTATTCATCTTGCCCTTATAGTCTACTTGTCTGGAAGGTCTATCAATAAAACAAATTATTACAAGACTGAGAATGTTACAAAAATTCTTTTCTTCAAATACACTGTATAATATGACTGAAGATTACTAAACCATCGTTGGGAGAGTGTGCACTACTCGTTATTATCGTCCTTTTTACACTACATCAATATGGAAATGAATCAAATCTGAAGCATATATCCTGCCTCGTCTTATGGAACATTCTATCGGGTTCTGTCTGTTGCTTGTTTTGACCTTCAGGAAGATTAATAGTCCCCTTCACAGTTCCCTGCGCCATCTAGAAAGGCAGCCGTGCCTTTGCATCGAAGCGAGACGAACGGTGAGCTTGCAATGATAGAGACGTGAATAATTGTCCAAGGTGTTAAAAACAGGTCTCTATCATTTCCCGCTCATCGTTCGTCTCGCTTCGATGCAAAGGCACGACTACCTTTCAAGATGGCGCTGGGAACTGTGAAAAGGACTAATGAGTATATCTTGAAGCGAAGCATGTCGGGAATGGAAACATCTATCTACTGACCAATTGTCAGCATGAAATCTTGTAATTGAATGATTCTATAGGTTGTATTCTGACCTCATAGACGTTCTTTGCACTGAAGTAAATATGAATAATGTATGGAAAGCGTTCGTAGGTAATGGAAAATGGATTTGACCATACGAGATGCGTACCGTAAAATCATGAGTAAATAGAAACATCGAGAATAGAATGGGAAAAATGATCATAACAGATACGTACCGACCGTAAAATCACGAGTAAATAGAAACATCGAGAATA